AATTCCACCCAAATGATTTTGTTTTCATTTTCTCGATAAAAGAAAATTCTACCCTTAAGTATTCTCATTATTTTTATCAATAAATGTTGTTTATGCTATGTTTTAAACTGGGAATATTAATTACACGTAAACACACTAAATCTTTAATCCAAAACAAGGATAAAGGATTTTGCAATGTTTACTTTTTAAGGTATTTAAAATTTTTATTCATTCTCATTTGAATTCTGAATTCTAAACTGTTTAGTTTTCATCTTTGTTTTCTTAATTTCAATTTTTAAACTTCAAAATATCACTTAGTGCTGGTGTGGCACTTATTGATGATGGACTTTCCATCAAGTATGCGGTTGTCCCCATCAGAGTTCCCTGCGAAACACTGCGATGTGTCCCAATTTCTGAACGCACTGTTCCAAGAAGATTAAATCAGTTTGGACCGATGGCTTTTCGCCCAATAAATGAGAACAGAGATGCACGGCTCGCATTTGCTCAAGAACACAGCCATTGGTCATTGGACGATTGGTCTGCTGTACTTATTACAGATGAGTGTAGATTTGCTCTACGATCTCCAGATGGGCGTGAAAGAGTGTGGAGAAGGCGAAATGAAAGGTAGGAAGCTTGTAATTTTTCCCAGAGCCAACCTTTTCGACGTAGCTCAGTGATGGTGTTGGGGCGGGAATTTCAATGGAAAGTTGCACAGTTGGTTGTTTTTCGTGGAGGGTCTTTGACGATCACTCGCTATGTGGATGAAATTTTGGACATCATGCGTTGCCAATCCTCGATGAAATCAACGAAAATCCTACTCTAATGCACGATAATGCCCAATCATATGTCGTTCGCATAGTACAGACGAACTTCAACAGCATAACATCAGGGTCTTAGCCTAGCCAGCCCGTTCTCTGGACTTGAACCCCATCGAAAATTTATGGGATAATCTCAAAAGACGTATAAGAGCACGTCCATCACCTCCTGATACATTCCACGATCTTGAAAAGACTCTTCGGGAAGAATGGGCTAATCTCCAGCAAAGAGACATTTCATGACTGGTACAAAGTATGCCGAGGCGTCTTCGAGATGTAATTAAGGCAAGAGGAGGAAATACGCGATATTGAAATGTTAATTAAAAATCTAAAACAAAATTAAACAAATTTTATGTCCGTATTTTTTTAATTTTTTCATTTTCCTTAGCAATTTACTGTTTTTTTACTTTTAGACAAAGACTCAATTACTAAACGTTAAAAAACGTGAAACTTTGGTTAATATATAAAAATATATACAACTCAAGTTATATTACAAGTGGGCGGAATTTTTTGCCTGTCAGTATATTTTCTACTTGCAAAGCCGCTTCGTTTTTTAAGTGATTCCTGTTTTGATTTAAAGACGTTTTCGATGAGTTTTATGAAAAACAGAAAAAGTGCCGGTTTGTTACCGGTTTGAAAATCAAAAGATGACATAATGAGTACAAAAACATATAAAAAGGATTGCATGACTAAAACAGGTGAGAGGGCAAGGTCTGCGCTTTGGATCGGCTGTAACACATTCCCTTATAAGAAAAGAATCCGCTTGGTCCCAGGGACACCGAGTCGGTACTGCGTCCCTCCGATAGCTACTTTTTTGAACCTTTCTGAATGCTTGTAAACGGTACGAAAAACAAAATATTTTAAACAATAAAATATAAAAAAACCACATCGAAAAATAATACCAATTTTTTCCTAAATAACTGGAATGGACTATCGGACGAATTATTGACAAACTCTGCCGGATTGTTTCACTTCGAACATTTGCAACCAAATATCATTGAAATTCAGTCCAAAAGGTGTGCAATATTTAGCCATTTGTAATGCAACTCTGGTTATCTCTGGGCGACAATAACTAATGAAAATAGACTTAAGAGGGTACAAAGCTGGACTGATTGCATGGACATACACAGGGAGGACATGTCTTGCGTTTTGCCGCTAAAAAATTTATACGAATTCATTCCGACCATATTTGAAAGAAGGAATGATATTGACAGACAAACCATGTCGCAAACACAGACAGGCCTCAGTCAATTCATCCCTAACCAAGCATGTCTCTAACCCTAACCCAACCTAGCCGTAACCTAATCCTACCGAAACGAACCAAACGTAGCCTACACCGTCCCTAGCCTAACTTAACCCTAACCATACCTAACTGAACCAACTGTTTCGGGCCAAAAATATATACTAACACAAAACGAAATAAAAATAATGAAAAAATCGCTTGACATCAATTACATATTAATCAACATCCTACAACAGCGTTCTTATCTGTAACTTTCTTAAGATAAAAACTGTAACCTAACCTAATCATTCTTAACCTGACCTAACTTAACCTAACCAAACACTTGCAAACTCCATGGTATCGCGGAAAAAATCTTTCCAACCCAAAAATATTACATGTTAAATAAAACCAAATAAAAATAATTTTAAAAAACACTTGTTATTAACTACGTTCAGAGCCACTTCACAAGTGTATAGACAGACAAACCATACGTAACCTAACCCAGCCTTAACCCTAGCTAACCCAACTTAGGGAAACGTCATTTCCCTACCTAACCCAACCATTTCTAACCTAACCTAACTCATGTCTTAACCCAAGCGCAATCCCCGACAACGCGAAAATATAATCGCAAAAACTATCGCTCCAGCCCGAAAACAAATCCATGTTAAATTAAAAAAAGAAAAAGAATGAAAAAATAACAGTTGTAACCAACTACAAATCTAATTAATTAACATCCTATATGCTTCTCATCGTTAATTTTCCTAAGATAAAAACCCACCCTAATTTAATTATCTTAGATCATCCAAAAGGAAAACAATTTGGAGTAAATTTTGTACAAATTTAATTAATCAAAAGCGAATATAGTCCGGGGGCTTTCCAATTTGTTAAAAGATCAAATTAACCTTCAACTGGAAAAACGATATTTTCCTTTAAGCAAATTCAGGTTTTTGGTTATTTAGAAGCTGAACTTAACAGCCGATAGAAAGAAAGGGGCTTGTACCCGTTGGCGATTTATGAAATTCCGAGGTTTAACCATTTTAAACGTCAGAGGTCTAAATCGTACCGAGTTAAAAGGCTGACTGAACTGTTTTAGGCCCACTTGTCTCAATTATGTATCAGATTAAATCGGGAGCCGTTCGTGAGTAGGAAATGACAACTGTTTATACAAGGTTCATTATTTTCACCACTCCCAATGACCAAAACGGGCGATAGACGTGCCAGTCGATGCACTCGGCCGAGTGCGATGTCCGATCTTTTCGCCAAAAGAGGAACATGATAAAAACATAAATTATAAACCATCAGTATGCAAATTGGAAAAAGGGGCGAATGAACACGAAAGCGTTTTTCGGACGAACAGCTAGTTTCTTTCCTTTAACTCTTAACGCCAAAATGTAATTTTTCGGGAGTTCAAAGGGTTTTTGGTTTCTGAAAGAAAATTAGTTTGAAATTAATTGTACGCCTATGTGAATTATGTTTGTTTCTAGAATCAATAGTAAATTATTTTCGTCTGGTTGTTCTATTTTTGCACCGCGTTGGCATCCATACTTGCGCCCCTCTCCCCTTCGTGCCAAATCCAGTATAAGCACCACTGGTTATTGTTTGTAACTCGAGGTTAAATAACATTTAAACATTTTTAAAAAACTATACCAATCCATTTAAGAGGCCTAATTGACTGTTCAAGATTCTCTGCCATTTTTCATTTTGCTTACAAAACACCCGGGGTCTTGTGTAATATCGTTAAACTCCAAAACACAGCCCATATTTGTCACACTGGACGGATCTGAGTTCAAAGTTCACCCGTCACAATTTCAAATTTTTAATTCGTTATAATATGTAGAGTGATTGTTGTGCTCGTCCTCAACACCCAGCGGTTCAGCCTTCCTGTATGCCTTGTATGACCATAAACATCTCAGAAACGTATAGATAAGAACACTGCTTTTTGGGTTGAATGCAAAATTGTTTTTACGTGTCAATTTTTCCGTTACCCAGCGCGTTTGCATGGGTTGGATGAGGTTAAGTTAGGGGTTTTATTTTAAGAAAAATAAAAATAAGAACGCTGCTTCCTGGATGTTCATTAAATATATGAGTAGTTGGTTACAACTGTTTATTATTATTATTTTAAATGATGTTTGTTTTTGGGGTGAGGGCACGATATTTTTTGCGTGACGATTTTCTCGTTGCCGGGGATTGCGCGTGAGTTGAGACTTGAGTTAGGTTAGGTTAGGTATTGTTACGTTAGGTGGGTTAACTACTACAGTTACTAACTGAAAATGACGCTTACCCACACTCGAAACTTCTCCTTTTTTCAAATATCGACAAAAAGAATGGATTTGCACGGGAACAATTGTCAATAAGAACTTTGATTTTTGAGATGGCAGTCTGCAGAAGACCTGGAGAACGATAGTCAATGCTGCACGCATTCATTTGAAAGTTCTGTGGTGGTTTTTCCTGAATTCTCGCCGTCCTGAAAGGGTTAATAATTTTAATTCGCTGGTAATCGGGGTATATCAATCTCAGTGTGGAGAAGAATGGACAAAAAAACCAATTCACTTCTGACACAACTGATTTTGCAACCAGATGGCCGTGAAAGACTGGAAAAGACATGGTGAACTAAACCGTGCCGGGTTGATACCAAAGCCTGAAGATTAGACACGATCATACAAGATGAGGAGACCTCAATGAAGATGGCGCAAAGCTGAAATGCGTTTCAGTTATATTTAAAAAACTGTAAGACGAACTTGCAGTTTACCATCAACGTTTTATCATGAACTTTCGTACATCTAAGCCTTTTTGATTTGTGTAAAATGTAGGTTCAAACGTTGCTCGTTTGTTTCTGGGAAATTTGCAAATCTTGGGTAAAGAAAACAATTGAGGTTAAGTGTAAGAAAAAAGTGTATATACAAAATTAAATTATTTTATTATAGTACAATTAGGTTCCTTTTTTTGATAAAATTTCTACAAAAAGACGTCATTATGTACATATATTTATAAATATTATAAAACACCAAGCGCTTTTTCCTAGGATCATTATATGGAAAAAGAACGTACACTTTTTTTTTTTTTTAACTGGGAAGGGGAATGATGAAAACTTCCCATATAATATTTCAAATTGAACAAACCAAACGCTTAATTATTTTCTTCATAGGATCCATAAACGTGGGAAAAAAAATATATAACAGTAAATATGTTCAACAAAAGAATTGATTATGAAATTCGGCTTACAGATTATACTGATCGAAATCGCTTTGCATGTAGATTAACGATTTCATATCGAACACTGCCGAAATAGGTGAAATTAAGAAGAATTATAAGACAAATTAAACCCGTTTATTGAGGCAACATATCCTTGAGTATATCTTTTACACTCTGTGACAGTTCTTCGGGGAAAATGATGTCGAAGTTGATGAGAAGATCACCGTTTGAAGTCGGGTCCTTGGGTGACGGTAGCCCTTGTCCTAGAATCCTTTTGACAGTCGTCGGCTTGATGATTTCCTTTGTCAACGAAAGCTTCACTGTGCCTCCTGATAGAGTCGGCACTTCGATTATCGTGCCGCACAATGCCTGAAAAGTTAATCGAAGATGAAAGATCATTTTTCGTTTCATTTGAAATTTACAACTGGGACTTAACTACGACAAGTGACTCAATTTCGATATAAGAGAACCTAAGCACTTGCTTCCACTGGCCCAGGACAGACCGGAGCCTCAGACTGCTCCAGGTTGTTTGAAGCAAACCGGGATGAACGTTTTTGAATAGTCCTTTTTATGTAAGGTATTGGTAAGTGTCACAAACAGGATTCGAACCAACTCATCTCAACCAAAACCTTACATAAAAAGAATAAGAATTGAAATAATTAATATGGTCAATTAGACCGCTAAACATAAATGGAGTTTTTGAATAGGTTGGGGGGGGGTTAAACCACACCGGTCAAGTAAAACGTTTGCTTCAAACAGCTCCAGGCAGAATCAGTCCTTGCCTGGAAGTGTTTGGTTCAAAAATTACCAAACAAAAGTGGCATGTACTAAGCATTTCTTAAAGTCCCTCGCCTTTGGCTCAAAACACACCGGACTTGTCAAAACAGCCTCACGCTACTCCATGCTGTTTACAGGAAACCGAACGTTTTTGTACAAGTTCAAATGAAGTTAAACCACACTGGCAGAGTCAAACGTTTGATTCAAGCTTCTTAAGACAGAATTAGTCGTTGCCTGAAATAGTTTCGTGAGTGCTTGGTTCAAATTACCAAATAATTTAGAATATACTAAATATTTGTCCAAGTCGCACGCTTTAGGACCAAAGCATATCGGATTAGTCACAACAGCTGTTTGAAACCAGCCGGGATGACTGTTATAGTATAGGTCCAGGTGGGGATAAACCACACCGACCGAGTCAAACGTTTGCTGCAAGCTTCTTAAGACAGAATTAGTCGTTGCCTGAAATAGTTTCGTGAGTGCTTGGTTCAAATTACCAAATAGTTTAGAATATACTAAATATTTGTCCAAGTCGCACGCTTTAGGACCGAAGCATATCGGATTAGTCACAACAGCTGTTTGAAACCAGCCGGGATGACTGTTATAGTATAGGTCCAGGTGGGGATAAACCACACCGACCGAGTCAAACGTTTGCTGCAAGCTGCTCCGGGCAGAATCTGTCATTGCCTTGAATCGTTTCGTGATTTAAACAAACATTTTTAAAAATTTAATTCCAGTCAGAAACGAGGTAACGAAAACTTTGACAGACCCTTTGAAATAGTACAATGAATGGACCAGTTCATCAGAAGACATGCCGCAAATTATAGTGCCAGTACATCAAAATATTTTGAGCACACAATATATAATATTGTAATTTGTCACATTATCAGACCGAACTAAAAGTCTTCAGTATCTCGGTTCGGAAATGACTGAAGATATTTTACCAGCGGTGTGGTGTTTAGGACGTTACAATCATATTCAGCCACAATGAAACAGCTTTTCTTCAAACAAATTGACTAATCCGCCGTTTTAGGTGGATTAGATTATGCGGTGATCGGCGTTTCAGTCAGCTTTGAGGACTTTCATGAAGTATGACTGCGGAATGCTGGTCTAAGGATTGAGATATGAGTGCGGTTGTACCTTGATTTGATGGCTTGGGAAAGGTAAGGGATATTGGAGTTTTGGACTGGGATAGTATTCGAGATGTATTGGCTGATCAAAGAAAAATCATACAATAATAATCTTCAAAGTGGTGTAACTTACCCATTTCAATGGAATCTTGGCCGTGTATTTAATGTCGCAGCCGTCCCTCCTGAATATGGAGTGTGGTTTGTCTCTGATGATGAAAACGATATCCGCCGGTATTTTATTTCTCACTTGGTCGCCTTCACGCCTGAATGTAATTTTAGTGCCGGCTTTCCAACCCGGTTTGACGTTGATCGTGAGCAGTTTGTCTTCCTTCTTCGTCGACCCATCCGGCTGTATGACTTTACGAGATATTTTCATTTTTTTTGTACACCCCTTCATTATGTCTTCGAGCGACACGTAAAGATCGTACTCGATGGGTGAATCCTGGGCTTTATCTTTCCTGGAATTGTTTCCGTGAGTGTTGAACGATTGGGATCTGTAAGCGCTGCCGGGGCCTTTGGGTCCGCCGAATCCTGAGAGGAAAGTGAATTCGTTCAGATCGTTGTCCATATCGTCGTCGTTGTAATTGTATTCGAAATGATCGAAAAACGAATGGAATGGACGACCGAAAAATTGAGCGAACGTGGCGTTTGCATCTCCGTGGAATTGGAAATGTGGTCCTCCACCTCCGACTCGACCTTTCAGACCGTCCTCGCCGTCTCTGTCGTATATCTGTCTCTTCTTCTCGTCGCTCAACACCTCGTACGCTTCCGCAATCTCTTTGAACCTTTCGGCAGCATTCGGTGCTTTTGACTTATCGGGATGATATTGCAAAGCTAACTGCCTATAGGCCTTTTTAATCTGGCTGATATTAGCGTTTCTAGGGATCCCTAGAATGCTGTAATAGTCTTTTCCCATAATTCCTAAAACAAAACAATAAAAAAATCAAATTAGCAACATTTTCGATATATCAAAAGAGTTTTAAATCAAAAGACAAATATATATCATTTAAATTATATTAAAAGTGAAAAACAAAAGTAAAATCTATCTCGTGTATAATATTAGAAAAATCTCACGGGTTCCCCAGGGGGAATAAGTTTGCCCGGGTTATTTTAAGCTGCTAAAATGAGGTCACACCAACTAATTTTTATATCACCCTGAACTCGACTATCGTCCGAGCGCTAAATAATAAGCAAGGTCATAGTTACATTTTCAAAAAATGATCATCTACGATCTATGATAATAGAACCGGTTGTTGAGGTTTCAGTGCCCTATTAAAATTATAGGGACATATTTACTTTTAGTTTCTTTATAAAATAAAACAGACTAAGGACGGTATTCCACGAGTGACATTCAACTTTTCATCTACACGAGGTATCAAAATAATCAATAGTTATTAAGCCAGATTGAATTAGATGATGAACTGCTTCCGTGTTTAAGCCTCAAACAGGCTAATTCGCGTTGAAGGCTATTATAATGAAAATGTAAACTTAGGGTGAAATGAAATATTGAAACGTCAAATTACCTCCTCCAAGATTTTTCTAAATATCCCAAGAGCTAGAGAAAACTGAGCATATCCTACCTGTGCGAGTGGGGGCAAGGTAAACGGGTTCTTTCCTTGTGCTCGCCTTGTTTAATAAAGAGAAGAAAGACCCCCAATAGGTTTTCACCATTGTTGATTTGATGAAATGTTAGGGCGTTTTATTTTAAATTNTCTATATCGATTGGTCTATCAGACGCTTCCGTAAAAATGAAAGAAACAATTAACTACAGATTTATGTATAGGTTCAAAAACAAAAAATCACAGATATGGAAAGTATACGTTTTTCAAACGCATAAACTGAAATGTAGCGTTTTTTTAATGTGGATATTTTTGGTCTAGATACATAATTCTTTCGCATTATCGAGGAGTGCATACGGGTTGGGGTAAGCGACAGGTTAGGTTACCGTAGGCAGGATGATAGTAGACACGACCTGTCATCGAGGAGTGCATAAATGTTGGGTTGGGTTAGGCGAGGTTGGGATGGTTAGGTTAGGTACGAAGGATGGATGGGAGGCACAAAATAGAGCTTTTTTTTTTCTTTTTTCTCTCTTCTTTTAAAATATAGATACGTTGTTGGGCTGAATACACTTTTTTCGTGCACACGGGTTTGTAAAGGGTACAGGTAGGTTTAGGGCTACGGTTAGGTTACCGTTCGCAGGATGATGGGGGACACGACCTTAACAATAGTTTCTTCTGGGTCTACTGTTTTGCGAATGTTATATTCAAAGGGGTCTGTGCAAGATGACAAACTAACCTTGAAGACGGCGAGAAGCCATGACAGGCCAAATAGACAGAGCGAAATTATTAGGAACAACCAAATGCCAGATTTATGGGTAGGTTGAACGAGACATAGTACAAGAATGGAAATTATAGAAGTCTAGTTTCGTTTTTCAATATAATAATAACATAAAACGTAGAGTTTTTAAAAGTGGGTCTGGATACACAATTTTTCGCGTTACCGAGGGGTGTGTACGGGATGGGTTGGGATAGCGTTAAGTTAGGTAGGGTTGGGTAACTGACAGGTTAGGTAGGTTACCATAATCAGGATGATGATCGTAGACACGACCTGAACAGATCACTTTCTGTATTTACCGTTTTGCAAATGTTACATTAAATGTAGACTGCAAGATCACAAACCAACCAACGAAGATGGCAAGAAGTCATGACAGGCATCAGCGATGGTGAGCGAAATGATCGGAAATGACCAAACGATAGGTTCACTGCCTGTATAAGAAATAAGTATTTACATGGGGCCTTGGTGGTCGCAATGTTTTAGGCGTTGAAACGGCGCTCATCACTGTACGATAAAGGTCTCGAGTTCGAATCCAGCAACCCTGCATTCGAACCGAACACACTTACAAATGGGCTTTTTCAAAAACACCGGCATCCGAGGGTTCATATAACCTCGTAGTTGAAATACCCTCGTTAAAAAATAAATATACAAAAAGTATAAAAAAATTCTAACAAGAGATTTATGATTTATGCATAGGTTTAAAAGAAATAATACAGAAATAGAAAGTATACACTGTTTTCCAACCTTGTAAGCTGAAACGCATACTTTTTTTCTTGTTTTTAGCATGGATATGTTTTTACATACACATTTTTGCGGTACAATGGTACACATTTTTGCGAGCTTACGAGTTGATAGTGGTAGGGTTAGGGTTAGCGACAGATTAGGATGTGTTAGGGACGGGTTATTTTCAATGTTGGGTAAAATTCCGAATAACAATTACATCTGCATTTAACCAGCACTAGGTCAACAGTCGCTATCTACAATGAATAGATTACATCTTAATTGTTAAATTTCTCCTTATGGCCTCCGGGCTGAATGTACCAACAATTTTGCCACTATTTTATACGCAAAGTACAAGTTTTGAGAAAAGTACACGAGGAGGAGGATGGCAAACCAACCACTTAAGGTGGCGAAAATGTATGAACGCGCCTCAAAGATCCACTGGCCGTATTTTTTTCGAAGGGGACTGTGCAAAATGACCAAACCGTGCATTGAAGATAGCGAGAAGACATGACCTAATTATGATCGGAAAATATAAAACTACAGCTTTGTCACTCCGCAGAACCCGACGAGCATACTTGGCTCACTAGTCCCAAGAGTGTTACATATAGAGTATCAACAAATCCATAGTTTTGGTATTTTATATTTATATATAACCTGCCGATTCTTCGTATGACCTGGGCGAATAAAATTGCGCTTTCAGCTAGAAAAAACACAAATATTGATGTTGCAATTACGCTTGTTCTATTTATTTTTTTCCTGAGTGATGACTCGATTATGCAGATTAAAAAGTCCATGTGTACAAACAGGGTCTAAATACGCATATTATTAGTGAATGGGTGAATGGAAAAAGGTCATCACCCTTGCTCTATGGCGGTTTTAGTGGGGACTTATCAACGAAGACCACCAGGTTTTTTAAATTGACTCGATCGACCAAGATTTGCTTATATTTCTTCGGAATAAATTTCAAGTGTGGGACAAATCAGAGTGGGTAGGAAAGTTCCAGCGCGTCACAAGGTTTACGGTTTGCGATCTGTCAACTGGAAAATGCGGTCTTAACTCAAACAATCACCGGTCTATGGAGATGAGCGACTTCCTTAAGTGCATGATGCAGAATGAAAATTTAAGAGACGAAACCTTACGCCAAAGAAGCTAAAAAAAATTTTTTTTTCAATTCAAATACTTTCAAGGATTTCTTTATTTTATGAATCATCATTCCTTCCATGCAATAATTCCGTATGCTTTTATTTGTTGTAATTGTTATTTTTTGGTTCTAATTTTGTAAACTTTTAAGATTACATGAAACAACCAAAGCCTTTGTACGGTTGTAATTTTCATTTTTAATTGTATGTTAACTGTATCTAGTCCTTTATGCTCTTCACTTCCATAGCTTTCAATCCAAACAATTTTCTTAATTGATATTTTTCCTTGTCTGCGAGTTGATGAACCTGCAATTTGGTCGTTACCAGTCATTTTTGTTTGCCTATTCTCGCTGGGTTGGTCATGGTCCCTCCATCTTAATAAGTGGGGCCAGACTAAACACCCTGACACAAGGCTAAAGATGGCGAAATACCGAAACGCGTCTGCCAGATTGTGCAGGATTTTCTGGATATCAAGTTTACTACTAGACTCGTACAGGAAGGAGTTAATTTAACTATTAAAAGATAACCAATATCTAGCAGACAGAGACGACAGTGCGTACACAACTGCCTCACTAGCAAGTCTTGAGCAATGCAGACGATTCGATACTGAGATTTCAGGTACCTCAGGTTGACTTCTACGTCAGCATTGATATACTATAAACTAAACTCGCAATAAAGTTCATGTTAAAAGCAAAGATTGGACCAGTACCATGACTGCCGCTTTATCTTAAGAGACTTCTGAAATTAAATTCAAAATTAAAAGTTTTGGGAGATATGACGTTAAGTAATGTCGGAAAAGCTCTCCAATCCAAATCATGTTCAAATAGACATTCAAAAAAATAAACTAGAAAAGGAAGATAATTCTGTACTTATTTTTGATACATCCGACATGGCAGTAAATTCGCACTTTATATCCGTATTCAGCAAAAGGCCACATAAAAAAGTTCACACCAATCAAAATAAATTTTCGGAACTTGTAATTAGTCAAAAATTCTACTCTCTATAAAAACTTAGATGTACAGAAGGTTGACTTTATCATCGGCATTTCAATGTTATAATTGTCTACAAACATGATCACATCAACACAAGAGACTCACCTTAAGGGACTTCTGTACTTAGTAGAAGCAGTACAGGTACCTTCGAAAAGCAACCGACACAAAAAATGAGTGTAGACCAATTGGAATAGATTTTTGTGACTAGTGGTTTGTCAGAAATTCTACTCTCCATAAAAACTTGGTTATGTAGGAGGTTGACTTCATGATCAAAGCAAGCTACCGTCTTCAAGCATCCATGGTAGATCATATTTGAAGGTCAAAACGAACATAAAAGTCAAATAGAAAGTTCCATACCATTTTATTCTAAATATTGCATAGAAGTATCGAACATTCATTCATTAAATAGTGATTAACTTGGGTGCATGTTGAGTCGTCTTTTGGATGATTCTGTGAGGAAGGTTAATGAACCATCCCATCATATAACAAATGTTAAATCATATGTGATACATTATTAATTTAAATTAAATAAACTTTCCCAATGGTACGTCGCACTGACAAGAGGTAAATACGCAAAACATTCGTTTCTTATCATAATAAATGCTTATATTTACCTTTAGGATGAAAGAGGTCTTGGGGGAGGGATTAAAATTACATCACGCGGTTCCGATGCCAAAAATTTGACAAATTTAAGAGTAAGTTTGTAGAGTGTAAAATGTAAGTATTTCAATATTAGAAATATCTACAACTTTTTCACTCAGGAACGCTCTGGATCAAGGTACGGTCTTGAAGGAAAAAAGCAAACGGGCAATAATTGAATCAGTCTTCAAGGAAATTAAGATGGCCTTAAAAAACAAATCTATCCATCTGTAGACATATTTAAAATTGTTTTGCCCTGATGATGACGTCGAGGTTCAATAGGTCGAGAGCTTGGCAGTAACAAATGAACTGCCTTTTTTCCTCAAGACTATACCTTGTTCCAGAGTATTCGTGACATGTATGACAGATTGGGAAACACCTCTGGATTACTCAGTAACCTTCTCATTCAAAATTATTTTCCATACTTAAAGTGTTAAATGTGGAAAATAAGTTTGAATGGGAATGGTACTAATTTCTAAGGTGCTTCCTAATCTGGTACATTTACATGTTTCACTTTACAGACCGAGGACAGTATAAACAAGCAAAACATGATTTTTTTTTTTTGGGGGGGGGATGTTGATTCAATTATTGTTTCTTATCATAATAAATGCTTATATTTACATTTAGGATGTGTCTTGGGGGCGGGATTAAAATTACACCACGCGGTTCCGATGCCAAAAATTTGATAAATTTAAGAGTAAGTTTATAAAATGAAAGTATTTCAGTATTAGAAATATCTACCACTTTTTCACTCAGGAACGCTCTGGATCAAAGTATGGTCTTGAAGAAAAAAGGAAACCGGGCAAGAATTGTACAGTCCTTGGCAATGTTAGGACTGTGTCGGTCTTGAAGAAATTTAAGATCTCCTTAAAAAAACTTAAATATATCTATCTGTAGACATATTTAAGATTGTTATCCTCTGAATATGACCTGAAAATAGGTCAAGAGCTTGGCAGAAACAAGTGAATTTGCTATTTTCTTCAAGACAATACCTTGTTCCAGAGTATTCCTGATATGTATGACAGATTGGGAAAAACCTCTGGATTACTTAGTAACCTTCTCATTCAAAATCATTTTCCATATTTAAACCTTCTCATTCAAAATCATTTTCCATATTTAAAGTTAAATGTGGAAAATAAGTTTGAATGGGAATGGAACTGATTCCTGAGGTGTTTCTTAATCTGTCACACCTGCATTTTCCACTTTACAGACGGAGGACGGATTTGCCGATTGAAGATGTCGCGTTCGTCGATTATTCCAAATTCAAGGACCCTAGGCAATTCGCATAAAAATTATAATCCCTAATTTTTCCATCGCCAAATTTAGACATTTTCAGTGGGTGGCAAATTAAAAATAGAACTTTATTGAAGAGTTAAGCTCGGAAAATCTGTCATTCGGTTTATTTAGATTTTCCCAGAACGGGAGAGGGACGACGCGACGTCGAGGCTGTGACAATTCGTCGTCCAAATCGAATGAAAAGCGCAAACCGAGAAGTGCTTGGGACTCGTTTTTATTTTACTTCTTTGGCTTGGCTTTTTTTCGATTTTGAAACGATTTTTTTAATATAACACACGTACGTTGTAAATAAATAAAGGCGAAGAAAACCGAAGAGTTGTCGGTTTTAACGGCAGGGAGATAACATTTAGAAATATATTTTTAAAAAGCCAGAAAATATTATAAAAAAATACTCACTTGTTTCTTGTCTCGATAAAAACTCGATGAATTGTAACGCTGCGAGTCAAATTTCCTCTGAGAAATTGTCTCAAGTTCGAAAAGAAAATGAGCTTTGGTCTGAACGTCAGACGTAAAACCTGGTGAGGTTCAATCTTCGATAGTTTCGACACAACTGAGGTTGAAAGTCGTGAGACCTGACTGGGAGTCGCAACCGTCTACGGTGGCCTAGAACGGCCTAGAATGTTCTACGTACTCGACTCGATTTCGAAACTCGGACCCCTCCCGGCAGGAAAAAAATTCAACTCGGCCCTTTTTAATGTGAAAAGGGACGATTGGCCGATTTACGGAATAAAGTAAAGCCTAAACAGATCATCTGGTTTAAAGTTGGCGATCAAGCCACCGTTGGACTTATCGTTTGTGGCGACCGCCAAACCGGACGAAATTCAAACTTCCCATCCTCTCCTTCATCATTTCCATCAATTTCAACGTGGAACATTTATTTGGCTGGTGCAAAAATAACGCAGGTTTTGAAAAGGCAGTCAAAACTATTTTTATAACTATAAAATAAAGACAATTTATTCGAAATACACTGCCCATAAAAAAACTGACTATCTGATGCATGAAAAATGGCCATCTTTTGGGAATGCATATTTTCTCAGCCTTTTAAGTCACCGACCTGCGCTAGCTCTCATTTTTTAGACAATTTTACACTGAACAAGATGGGTTTTCTAATATTTTCCTCGCTTCGGCCATTCATCAGTAAATTCAAAAATTGGGGAACATGTCAATTTTTGCACTTTTCCGAATACTTCAAATTGAGCTGTGGAGCTATTTTCTGGAGCGACGCATAGTAAGGCAAAGGCGGCAAAAAAATCGATATCCTACAAACTGAATTTTTTTTAATCCAATTCACTTTTTTACATTATTTGAGCAAGAGAATGAGGCTGTAATAACGGTATTACGGTTAAAAATTGGTCAAAACCAGTAATCACAACTGAAACCTGAAAATTATAAATTTTGCAAGATATACATCTATTTTCTAAACATTACCCCCCACCCAGCGGTTCGTTGTAAAAACTCGTTCACCCAAATTGCCTTTTATGTACACACCCAAATATGATATTAAGACAAAATTGATGACATGTAGATGCATAATTATAGTTGTTTTTTTTCTATTTTTGCAGGGGTATCCGACACCTAGGTCATTTCAACCCCGAGCCGAAGAAAAACACTGCAATACACACTCAATAAACAGTTACACCAATAAATACATTCACACTGATCGCACTCATTCTGTTTGGTAGATGGAGTACTCGATATTCCTCCACTACCTGTTTACTGCAATAAACTATTCTAATGCTAGGCTCTAATTTGAGTTCGATGGGGTTCTTTAAAAATTTTCCGCTACAGACCCAAGTCACGCATACAACATGACGGGCGATGGTGATGCTATTTCACCATCACCCTCTCCCCCATTCATACAAATAAATACATTCACACTATTACACACTGATTCTGTTTGGTAGATGGAGTACTCGATATTCCTCCATCTACCTTCACTACAATAAACTAATCGAAATTGTGGTCGATGGGGTTATTTCCATAAAATTTCCACCATCAACCCAAGTCAACACACAACCTGAAGGTTGGTGGAGAACCTACTTCGCCATCAGCCCCTCCCCATTCACACCAAGTGTGTGTGTGTGTGTGTGTGTGTGTGTGTGTGTGTGTGTGTGTGTTCCACGTTGAAAATGATGGAAGTGACGGAGGAGAGGATGCAGAAGTTTATTAAGAAATGAATTATTGGGCGGGTGCAAAAATAATGCAGGTTTTGAAAAGGAAGACACAACTATTTTTAATTTTCATAAAATAAAGAAAATTTATTCTAAAGATTTTCCATCACAATCTATACTTCTTTGCCAACGCATAATAAGCACTTTTATTCCGCTGCATAAAAATCTTTATTTCGAATCACAAGAAAGTCTTGGGAGGGGTTTTCGGCTTCACCGCGATTTCTAAAAATTTTATCTCTCAAGAAGTGATCAAAATGCCTAAAAAAGCGGAAGTCTGTAGGCGAGAGGTCGGCTGAATATAGAGGGTACGGTAAGGTTTCATATCCTAAGTCCTTAAGTTCCGCAGGGTAGGCGTTGCGACATATGTCCTGGCATTGTAGTGAAGAAGAATCGGCCCCTTACGGTTTACCAACGCTGCAGTTTCCCGGGCATTTTGTCAATTTCTTGGCAATATTTCTCTGCAGTCTGCTGTGTTTGTTTCCCACCGAACAGTCACTATAACCATTTTTGGGTGCAGATTTGGTTTCGGGAAGTGTTTTGGCGCTTCATCCTTGTCCAACCACTGAACCAACGCCTCCTGTTATCGTACAGAACCCATTTCTTACCGCACGTCATAATTCGATCAAGAAATGGATCATTTTGGTGATGCAACATAATTTGAAAGCGTCAATTTCTTTGGGCTTAGGTTAGTTCGTGCGGTACCCATTTCTCGAGCTTCTTTACTTTACCAATTTGCTTGCTCCAGATGGCGAACAACTGTTGAGCGGTCAACACTAAGCTCTTCCGCAATTTCCCTTGTTGCCTTACGTGAAGTTTCTTCAATGTTTTGAGTTGGTTGTCGTCCTCGACGGAAGGCCTACGGCGACTTTCCATAATTTTGAGATCGAATTCTCTGAACCCATCGCTGCACCGTGTTAACTGTTTCCTACCCCCAAAGTGTATTGATGTTACGCGCGGTTTAGGACGCATTTCGCCCGAGTTTAAATTCTTACAAATGAATTTGATGAAAATCTAGCTTGAACGTATTTATTTAGTTTCGCAGGTCCTCACTCTTATAAAATTCAATTACACTAAAATTTTTGGTATAAAAGATAAAAATTAAAAATATTTATCATAGTTCATAAGTTAGATATGAGGATTTAGGTTTGTTTACATGACAAGCACCTGCGTAAGTAAAACAAATTTTCAAAACTTGCATTAATTTTGAACCAACCCAATGCTTTTGCCATAATTTGTGTTTGTCACATAATACAATGGGTTGTAAAATAAGACCAGTGTTTTTCAATAATGGTTTGATGATGATGATGAATACTAGGAAGTGAAGATATTGAAATGATATTGAAAAGGAGATATTCACGATGTCAGCAATTATAGGGGTATCTCTTTTACGATGTTATCGAAATTACACTGATGGACAAAATAATTTAGTCAAAATTAACGCATCATCCTTAAATATTAATGCATTTAGGTTTATTCGTATTTTGCATAGGTTTGGTTGTAAAAATATGACATTTCAAAAAGAAAAAAAAAATATTGAGTAAAGAAAAAAAATGTTAAAAACCTTTTCAGCCCCTTCAATACCGAGTATTTCCACCTCTAGCACGAATCATTAAACGACTTTGCTTTCATTCGAAAAAAAACCCTGAGGAATTCTTTCCCATTCATCAAGAACAGCCGAATCCAACTCTTCTAGGGTGTTCCTGGGCTTCGCCGTCGGATTCATCGCTTAAGTTTGATTGGGTTTAAAGTGGACTTTGAGCATGCCACAAGCCATCAGTTCCAACCTCATTCAGGTGGTCATATACAGTACGTGCTCTTGAGGCCTGGGCATTATCATGCATTAGCAAGAATCATCGATGTTGAGGCGGGGGCAAATGGCACTACATGTTCTTCGATTATGTCTTGCAAGTACCTCTATGAAGTTATAGAACTTCCTTGCACAACACCAACCTGATGACGGATGAATATTATCTCTCTCGTCTATAGACCTAGGTCGTCCCTGTCCTGGTCTTCTAGTATGAAGCCCTGTTTCTCTGAATCGCCGAAGAACCTTAACTATTGCAGAGTGACAGCCTCCTTGGCGGCTTCGCGCTGGTTGTGTTGCCACCTCGGATATCCTTCCAAAAACCCTAGGGATGAAGGACAACGTGTGGGGCTGGATATTGTATAATAAAAGGAATAATATACTAAAAAAAAAGGTTCTTCTTGTATGGAACAAATTGAAGTACTATTTACAATGTACGACAAGCTTTCGTTTCGTTGTACAACAATAATCTTTCAACAAAGTAATATTCAGATTAAATTTAAAAAAATCAAAATTAACCAGACGAAATTAGAAATATTACCTTACATTTCTCACTATGGAACCAAAATGAAAATTTAATTTATCCTTCTACCAATGCACTCCTTTTAGGATTTACCCTTATCTCCTCCTCGAATTTATTTGCGATTGATTGTTCCCACTCTTCCACAATACAGGTTCCTATCTTAAGAACCACCATCACAAATGTGATCCCCTGTAGTAGCCCAGAAGGGTTCGTTTACAGGAAACAATTTCCTGTGAAATGTCTAACGCTTAAAAATTCAGTCACACAGCCTGAGACAGTTTGCGATACACCTTTACCAAGCAAAACTGAACTACTCAGCTAAGTGATAGCCATAGGCTCTTTCACACTACATATTCACACTAATAAATACCACAAAGAACTACTATGTACAGTAAGACCACTTAATGACTCGCTGCTATGCTCAAGCAAAATGATTGCCTATTTGCTCTTTATAAGGAACCAAGACAAGGCGTCAACTATGTGGGACACATCTAGCAAGGTGTGGCGGGCAAATAAGTGAACTTTGTCCCAAATGATAGTTCACCATGTACTAAAAAATATTAAGATTGTTTATTTTTCGTTTTTGTGTGATAAATCGATCTAAGAATCAAGCGATTTTATATTCATCATCATCATTAATTCTGAGGATTCGGGAGCGAAAGTTCGTGTTCCGACGGCTCTTTAGTGAGACCTAGTTCTTTGATCCGGTTCCTGACCAGATCACGAGCACAGCTGCACCCTTCATAGTGATATAAAGTTGATAAACACCGAACCTCGCCCGTCTTTTAATCTTGGGCCGATTGATTTATTTTACGGTTTTAATTATTTTTATTACCTAGTCTAGGCTAGAATGGATGGTGTGGCAAAATACGGGTGGAAAGCCCGGCTGGATTATCAATTCCCACAGAAGAGATCACAAAACTTGACACCTACCATAAAACAGATGATATCAATGATTCCCATGTCAATAAGGTATGTGTGCTGATTGATCATTTCCAAGTCCTAAATGACTTGAATTTTATCGTAGTAACATGGCTCAAGTGTATGCCTAAATTGTACAAGGGATTTGTTAATAATGGGTGAGACGATCAAACTACAGGTTCAACACCTCGTACAACTCAACATACAGTGTTATCGATCATTTTTGGCTAGCAGACGAGTGCGGCAATTTGCCATCTTACGTGACTGACAGATCAACAATATGCGAGATATGCAAACTTAGATGATTGTTAACGTTCATCATGTTCATCACCCCATAGACCACAGGAGGATCTTTATTTAAGGAACGATGGTTCTAATGATGGTATTGGAGAGACAGGATCGAGGATTGCTGCATCGTCAAATGTAAGAGTGAGTGTCAAGAGAAAAACGATAGCTGAAAAGTAATAGACCTAGGATGCTCCCTTGAGGAGCACCAGGGAGGCTTTATGTCTGAGAAGTTCGGTATGTAATGCGGAAAAGATGAGAATGTACTAGAATGGAAGGATTTGAGGATCAGCCGTAAGACACTTGTGCCAGGTGATGAATTTTGTGTATTGTGGAATGGAATTATACAAGCTAAATTGGTCAGGAATAATGTTGGTTGGTGATTAGTTTTCTTGCCGTAAGTTCTAAGGTACTTTCCTGATGTTTAGGCTTATTTCAGATGAGGTGTTATTTGATTCAACTAGTTAAACAGACAGGTGTCAAGGAGTGTTGCAATGAATCCATACTTTTCTTCTCCTTGGTTTCTTCCCTTTTTGCTCAAGAAGTGCTCTTGCTTCTGTCGTTGGGAAGAGATGTCTAATCTACAAGTTACCTGGTGTGAAACCAGCCAAGAAAAATCATGACATGCCCACTAGTTGAGAGTCAACCAAACTGTTCGTCTGAAAGAGGCCTTATAGGGCCGAGTAAACATGTCAGTTGATTTTTTTAGGCTTGTTGATCTTGAATATGGAAGAGAAATACCACAAGGTTTGTTATAATAGATGTCTCCAGAGAAATAGTACTTAGAACACAATCCGCACACATACTTACACAACATAGAAACAGATACAATAGCAAACTAAGAAGGGTTTCTGCAGATACTGGTGTCAGATGCGATTGAATGCCTGGAAGATGTCTAGAAAGACTTACGTTTGCGCACTAGACTTGCCTGCACTAAGAATGCATTTAAAATTTAATTTCCATAAATTTAAATAAAATGATTTGTCTCCTTTTGGTCTCTCTTCATAACGAATAAATCTTTTGTCTTTTGATTAAATTAATTGTAGCTGTATGTTGAATCAGTATAATTTCTAAAGAAACTTCATTTTCAGGTATACAATATATTACATATGGAAATGGTTACATTTTGAGAAACCAGTAATGGATTTTTTTAATGTTGTTCACTGTCAAAACAAAAGTGGTAAGTAGCAGATGAAAATTGAAATTCAATTTATTTCTAATTTTAAAATATTTAATTTTATTATATTGTAGGAGTGCCTCTGGGCGGGATTGGATGTGGGACTATCGGGAGAGGGTTCAGAGGAGATTTTTGCGGCTATCAGATGAAACCTGGGATTTACGAATATTACACTTCTCACGCTACGCAGTTCATCGTAAACATCCAAGATGAGAATGGTAAAACTTTATACCAAAAAGTATTATCTTGTTCGAGGTAAATCACCCGTTTGCAATAGTTGAGAGTTTATAGTTTGAAATATAAAATTTTTCAGCAAACCCGATGGTTACGTTTTAAATCAGTGGGATTGGAGTTTTCCACCTTCTGATGCCGAATACACCGCCCTTTACCCACAATCATGGACTGTTTTTGATATCAAAGAACAAAATATAAAATTGATCTGTCGACAAGTTAGCCCTGTAATCCCACATAATTACAAGGTAAAACAACATTTATAAATAGAAAAAACTTCCAAACCTCCCCCCCCCCGACTTTTAATCCAGCCTAACCATACTGCCAGCCTATCTACACTTTCACATCCCAAAAACCTGCCACATCGCCTTAAAATCTCCTCACCCCTTAATCCCCCATATTTAGAACCAGAATTCTTAACCTTTGGTTGTAGTGCTGGCTTTAGTGTCAGTGTTATGTCCAGGAAAAAACCTTACACTCATACATTTATAATATGTATTTCTATATTTAAAATAACCTTCTTTTCTTAAGCCAAAATAGAAAGTGCTGTTTAAAAAATTATTCTTATATTTTGGTATAAAAATTTTTATAATCATTATAATACACTTTTATTTAAAATTTATCTAATTGTTTTATATATTTTGTTGAAAACGTCAGGATTCATCTTTACCTGTGGCAGTTTTCGAATGGAGGGTCATTAATAACAATAAATCACACAGATTTGTTAGCATTACATTTACTTTCAAAAATGGAACTGGTAGTCCCAGTGATAAGACAGGTTTGTAAATTTGATCCCTCTCCAATCAAATGTGACATTTTGTTGGTCGTGTCTGTGAATTTTTGCACATTTGAAACACAGACATGCATCCATTGTCTTTTCTTTTTCTCTCAAGCATAAAATCTTAATTATAGTGCATAAAATGCTTCATTGGCTATTAAATTAAACCGACACTATATAGTATTATTTCTAAGAATTCGTAAAAGACTTATATTTTGCTTCTTACAGACTTATTATTTATGACAATTAGTTAAGGTTTTTAGTTGAGATGAAAAAAAGTTAATGGCACGAGAGGGATTCGAACCCACGACCTTCGGCTAGATACGCCGCTGCTCTACCAGCTGAGCTATCGTGATCTCGATCCACTCAGAGCAGCGGCGTATCTAGCCGAAGGTCGTGGGTTCGAATCCCTGTCGTGCCATTAACTTTTTTTCATCTCAACTAAAAACCTTAACTAATTGTCATGTCAACTAATTGGTCAAGCGGACCAAAAAAGTAGTGAATTACTTATTATTTATATCACTTTATTTAATCAACATTGGATTTTATTGCCAGTGAAGGGCATTTATGAAAGAGTTTTGTTCTTATTTTGTTTCAGAACCTGCTTGGAGTGAAAGTTTTGACAAAAAAGATGAATTAGGAGCAGCAAGTGGAGTAACAATTAGACAATCGTTTGGTGATCTACCTTGTTCTTATTCAGTCGCAAGTTCAATAAATGTAAAATAATCCATGAAATTTACTTTTTTCAAGTTTTAAACAATAATAAGTTTCATTTTTAGTTTGTTGATTCAGTGTAAACATGTTGAAAGACACATGTTTCATGTTTGGATGCTCTCAGTCCTTTACTAGTTTTAAAAAATTGTAACAGTATAAAACAGTTGCAGACCCAAATGATCTGAAACCTAACAGATTTCTAGGTTAAACCTCACAATTGTTCATTTTAGTCTAGCTTTCAAAGTAAACCCATATTTGGCACTCATAGTTTTTCTCCGGCTTCACAGACCTAACCTAACCTGTCCCTAACTCTACCTAACCTAACCATTCTCATTTAATGTAACTCAACTCATGTGCACTCCCTGGTAACAATGATGCAAAAAAGGGTCATGCACAGCTGCTCTGCATGAAAACAGTAATGTCGTAAATCTGACAGAATTGACAAGATTTCCTTTATCTATTTGTTTGTCAACTTAATCAGATGTAAAATTTCTTCCTTGGGTGACCATAGCAAAAGATAGAAAGGAATTAAAACCAACTTTCAGTATTGACCAATCAGAAAGATGTTTTCCATGATTTTTCACATTGTGAACCAACACATTTATTTGATAAAAGTGCTAAGGTCCTGGTTGGAATGTCAACAGCCACAAATTTGAACCCAGAGTATTTATACATTTTTTTTTTCTTTGGAAAATCTGTAACCTCGGGGGCTGATATAACCTCTACTGTTGTGAACCTCCATAAAAATATAAAAAATAATAAAATATAAAATAGATGGTTGGGGAGAAAAGAAAAAAGAGTGTTCTGTAGCATCATTTTGTTTTTCTTTATTCTGTATGTTTCTGGCTCATTGGTTCATCCTCAGCATTCCCCAATCCTAATCTCCATACAACGGACAATTTCAAATTACTGCAGTATGGGCATGGCTAGACAGAATAAAAAATAAATAATTGAGGATTTAAATTTGTTCTCGAACATCTTTATTTTATATAGTTTAATAGAAACCGGTGGTTAAAAAACAGCCATTTACATGGATAAACACTTTGTACTCACATTTTCCTCTGGTCCACAGAAAAACATTGATTCATGGATAACAATATCTTCATTTTTACCTCACGTAATCCAACCCATATCTTTAACCAAATCTTACTCCAACCCAAAATTGCAAGTAAGAATCTGTAATTGTCCCAGCCTAGGCCCTTCATTTAGACAGCATGTTTTAAGGCTAAGTCAAGCCCCTAAACTTTTCTCTTGGTTTCTATCTTATTGTCCATTATTCCAATAAAGTAATCCCATTTTGAAGGATAGCTTGTATATACCAAGGTTTTTGAATAAGGATAGCTTGTCACCAGCTAGTGTCTAAACCAACAGAAACAAAACAGGCAAAGCAACAAGAATAACATTGATACTCTTACCTAACCTAATTAACTCTAATGTGTACATAACCTAATATAACCCTAACTCTAATACAGACTTAACCTAATCTAACGCTAATGAGTGCCTAACCTAATCTAACCCTAACATTAACCTTTACCTAACCTAATCTAATCTTAAAACGCTAATGTTCATCTAACCTAATCTAACTCCAACCCATTCCCTAACCTGTTCTAACTCTAACTCTAACCTGGACCTAACCTGATCTAACCCATACCTAACCTAATCTAATCCTTAAACTCTAATGTTCACTTAACCTAATTTAACTCTAATATGTACGTAACCTAATCTAACTCTAACTCCAACCCATACCCTAACCTGTTCTAACCTTAACTCTAACCTGTACCTAACCTGAACTAATCCATACCTAATCTAACTCTAATCTGTACGTAACTTAATCTGGCCCTAACTTTACCCTTTACTTAACCTAATCTAACCCTAACTCCAATTTTTACCTAACTTAATCAAACTCATGTAACCTAATCTACCCTAACTTTAACCGTAACCTAACCTAATCCTTACCCTAACCTGTACCTAAATTGATCTAACCCTACCCTACCTAACCCAAACAAAAACCAAGTTATTTAACCCAATCTTCAATTGACATTTTGAAATGTTTAAATTTTTTTCTTAATTAAAAAATGCACAATCAACGAAAGAAATACTTTTAGTATTAATAGTTATAATATAGTACATATATGTAATATTTTACCTAGTTTATTAATCAAATTTAAGACAAACACTGCTGTCACAAGAAGTTTGTATTTCAAAGCTAATGGAAACGGTTCAACCATATGGAATGCATTAAAAAAAAATGGCGATTTAAAAAGTGAGCCAGATCAGAAAACTTTATCTATAGGCGAGTGTTTGTTTTCCATTATTGTCATATCATTTTTATAAAAAGGATTCATTTATTATAAAATAACATGTTTAGACACTGGAACAGAACTTGGTTGTGCTGTCTGCAGTAGGATTAACGTCAGCGGGTACAGTGAAGGGACATTGTCTTTTTCATTAAGCTGGGACATGCCTAAAATACATTTCCCAGGAGGTAATATTTGGAAGACTAGGTAAATATGGAGGGAGAGAGGTTTATGTGTTTATTTAAAAAAAGCTTAAAAAAAGCTAATAGTAGTATGGAAATATTTCCATATTTTTTTAGATACTATACAAAATATTTTGGCGATATAGGACATGCTGGGCCTGAGATCTGTTTCCATTCCCTAAAGAATTATAAACAATGGATAGCTCAAATCAATTCCTGGCAAGAGGATATTCTAAACAACAAGTAGGAATTTATTATTTATTTTAATTTAATTAATTTTCCCTTTTTTTTTAATAATGATTTTGATTTCTGTGTAGAACTACCCCAGACTGGTTTAAAAGTGCTTTGTTGAATGAGCTCTATTATGTATCCAATGGAGGCACGGTATGGTTATTACTTGATGATGAAGAAAAAAAGAAACTTTCTGCTAATGACCCAAGGTATACATTTATTTATTATAGTGATATATAACAGACTTATTAGAAGAATTGGTATTCTTGATGAGTTTCAGTCTGTTCTAGTTCGTTGTTAATTCAAACTAAACAAACTCAAATATTTGAGGTACTTGATTGAAATAATTTTGTATGACAGTTTGATATATGTTTATTACTAATACAAAGCATTAACCATTGCAAAGATTAATCCGTGTTTTTTAGATAACTGCCAGGTTCGACTATGATGCATCAGTGACCTTGTACACTTGCAAAAGTTTTGTGGTGTTAAGGGGGCAATTTTTTTTTTAAATTAGTTTATTTATTATTATTTGTTTTAAACATCAGTTCCCATAGCATGTTCACTTTAGTTTATTGTTAGGCATTTGGTAAAGTAGTCAAAAGTTACAGCATTTCTGGTTGCAACAAAATACCAGGAACAATTAAGGCTTCCATAGTGAATGTGTCAAGTAAAATAAACAGATAACTTTTCTCTAGTCAAATTTTTGCCCTGTAATTAGTTCAATTAATTTCTGACAATGTAATTAATAGTTCAATGGCATTGATACGATAAACGTAAGTTGTAGTGTGTCTGAAAAAAAGTATTTTCATAATGGTTTTTAATTGTCAATTTACAAATTAATTCTAATTATAAATTTACAAATAATCTGGATCACAGTATGGTCTTGATGATAAAGCAAATTCAGTTGGTACTGGCAGGCTGTTTTCAATGTTAGGACTGAGTCGGTCTTCAACGAAATTTGAAATCGTGTAATAAAAACTAAATTATGTCAATTTGTAGCCACATTTAAGATACACTTTTTTTTATAAAGGATAGTTCTTACAGGTTGTGCTTTAGTATTTTATGTATATCATCAGGAACCCTAGTGGGGTCTAAAAAAATTTCTCCAATTAATTAATTCTTTACCCCCTAGTATAAATTTTATTAATGTATTTTTATTTTTTTTTTTAATAAATAAAGATGAAAATTCAGTGGTCCTACAGCATCAGATTTCTACATATTTGTTTGTCGACGAGGCCCATACCATCATTCTCATCATAATTATTGTGGTGTACTTAAGACCTACAAATTAATAACTAATTTAAAATTATTTTCTTACAATATTTATTAAAATAATATTTAGTTAGGTTGTAATTCATGTTTTTTGCAGCAACAACTGAATTTGATTTTTCATCAATACCATACTGTGACCAGATTATTCTTGAGTAAAAAGTGATCAATACATCTAACACTTAAAACAAAATTATAAATTTATAAATTCTGACAGTGTTTAGTTATTTTGTTTTAATGAATAAAATGGATGGTTTTGGACTGAATAGACAATTTCTTTTTTGCTTTATCAATTTTGCATTACTGGAGAGTGCTCATAGATTGGGTAGGTTATGTTAGGATAGGATAAAGTTAGGGATGGGTTAGGTTAGGTAGGGTTAGGGTTATAGAAATGCACTATCAATGTTATTTAAAGTTTATTAACTAAACTTGTAAACTAGTTAAGTTTAAAATATTACAAAAATGTTGATTTGAAAAATTAGTGTCACCTATGGGACTCGCTTTGTCTGTATTTATACAAAAGTCATGGTTTCAAGCCCCCTTGTGACACTATTTTTTTCATCTCAATTTACTTTCTATAAAATTGTTTAATACAAAAAAATATACAATTAAAATGTTAATTTATGTTTTGTAGGCTAGAGTTTGGGAGATTTGGTTATTTGGAAGGTCATGAATATATTATGTACAACACATACGATGTTCACTTCTATGCATCATTTGCATTGGCCATGCTCTGGCCTAAATTGCAACTTGCTTTACAGTATGATTTTAACGATGCAATTGCCATTGAGGATAAAACCCAAGTTTGGTTCTTGTACAATGGAATTTGTGGACAGCGAAAGGTAAAAGATACTGTTCCCCATGATTTAGGAAGTGCAGGTAATTCGATCAATTCAAAAACTACAAAATTTTAGTGACTTATAAATTGATTAATTTTTAGGCAACCAAGCCTTTTCTATTATAAATTACTACCCAATACATGATGTTTCAAAATGGAAAGACTTAAACCTCAAGTTTGTACTTCAAGTTTATCGCGACTATACATTAATGAAAGATAAAAGTTATTTGGTGGATATGTTCCCGAATGTCATACGAGTTATGGAGTACTCTTTGCAATGGGATACTGACAATGATGGTCTCATCGAGAATTCTGGATTTCCTGACCAAACATATGACACTTGGATTATGAGAGGAACTAGGTAATTTTTTTTTTTTAATTTTATTTAATCATTTTCATAAATTTGTTTCAATAAATACAATTTTACTCTTTCAGCTCTTATTGTGGCAGTTTGTGGCTTGCAGCACTTGTTGTATTGGTGGAAATGGCCAAAATATTGGGTGACAAGGATGTTGAAGAGAAATTTAACAAAATTTTGCTCAAAGGGAAAGTGTCTTTTGATAAAAAGCTGTTTAACGGTATTGATTTTTTTCTTAAACAATTTAATTATTCACCTGCATTTTTCTATGATTAGATTTTCCACAACCACTCTGCCAAAGTGGGTGTTCCTCAAGGCAGCATCCTTCATCCCATTATCTATTCAGTATACACTAACAAGGGGAGACAATGGTCGTTGCGTCATTAATTTCAATGAAACTTATTGTAGTGACATTAGATCGGAAAATATTAGACACCTGTTTGAATGTGCAGGCCAATGGGCCCCAGGAGCCAAGAAAAAAAAATAGGTGTAAAAATGACAAACCTCTCCTGTTTGGAAGAATGGTTCAAGATATTAATGAAACCACACCAGACCGCCTCTCATGATTTCTGAATAAATAAAACAAAATATTAACCATTAATTAAGTTTTACTTTCAGGGTCTTATTATATTTATGACAGTTCAAATGGGGAACATTCTAAGAGCATTATGGCAGATCAACTGTGTGGTCTGTGGTATCTCCACTGTTGCGGATTAAAAAATAATGTAGCTTAGAAAAAACCATTGAATCGCAATCAAGTTTTATATTGGCTATTTTTATTTTTCAGATATTTGTCGAAACACATGTCAAATCTTCGCTGAAGGTTGTGTTTGAAAATAATGTTTCGAATTATTATAACGGTGAGCAAGGAGCAGTGAATGGTATGCTACCTGATGGTTCAGTAGACACGTCTTCGACTCAGAGTGGAGAGGTTTGGACAGGGGTTTCTTACGCTCTTGCTTGTCTTCTCATACAAGAGGTTTGTTCCTAGTATTGTCAATTTTTGACATTTTCCATATAATAGGAAAACTTATTTTCTAATTTGTTCTGATTTCTAGGGGTTTTATGAGGAAGGTTTTAAAACAGCTTCTGGAATATACAACACAGTGTACAACAAATCAGGATTAGGATTCTCAACTCCCGAAGCGTTATTTAAAGAAACATGTTACAGATCTGTGGGATATATGCGACCGCTTAGTATCTGGTCAATTCAATTGGCTTTACAAAAGGTTATTTAATTGATTTTTAAATGAGCCAGTATTTTTTGGAACTGTGCATCATTGCACCTAGCAGTTAGTGCAAGTACATACATTCAAATATTTTTATGATTAAATTATAATGTTTGTTTTACCAAATTCAGGTATGAAAATCTTTATATATATAAAAAAAGATGCATTAAAATATTTATTTATATATTTGTTGAATGGTGCTGGTTTACACTTTCTAAAATGATTGCTGTGGGTTTTAAATAATGCCTTCCCTATGTAAAGAACAGCCATCTATTCGGACAGCCAGGCAGCACTGGGGACAATTAACACACAGTGAAGTCCAGATTCGTTTGGGATTGTATTAGGGCCCTGTCAGACATTGGGGAAAGCAACAAAATTACCTTGTCTGGGCCCCAGAGCACCATAGGGCAGAGGGGCAACGAAGAACTCGATAAATTGGACAAGGAAAGTGCGATGAGGACACTTATTGGAGAACCCTTTTGTGGCATTCTAAACCACAAAAAGCATGGATCCATCAGACAACAGATTAAAAATAAGTCCTTTGTTCAAGGGATTGTAGCCCAAGAGGTATACGAAAAAGTTCATTTAAGGACTATTGCAGAAACTAGCAGCAGAACTTGGATGTGTTACGACTACAATAATAGTTAACTGTTGACTGGACACTCCAAACTCTGGAGGGATATAGTCTGGAGTGGCAGAAACAAGCCTGTGCAAATATTGCTAGAAAGAAGACAAGAGTGGAACAGGTCATATCTTGGTGCGAAGGCTTATGTGTGCTGAGTTCCCCTGGGAGAGGAAAAGCCCGGGACTTAATGATACACGGACATCCTTGAAAAAGCTGTGGGATCTGGTAAAAATCCTTAAGCGAAACGATAAACTCTAAACAATGATGGAGATTTTATAGTCCAATTCTGCAGTGTGTGGGTTGGTTAGGGATAGCCAACTTGGCCCACTAATTGGACAGTCAGACAGCCTCATCAGAGTAAAGTCCAGACCAGTATCAGATTGCATCAAGGCCTTGTTAGTCAATAGGGACAACAAAATCACCCTTGTTTGGGTACCAGGTACCATATGACAAAGTGTTAACTAGGAAGTCAATAAATTGCGCATGGAAGTTTGATGAGAACAGCTATCAGCCCTGAATTCATTTGCGACATACCAAATTGCCAAAAATGTGGAATCAAGAAGGGATTTCATTCCAGGACAAGCATGTGAAGAATCATTTTAGAAAATACCAGATTGCCAAAAATGTATAATCAAGAAGAATAAGTCCTTGGGCAAAGGGATTTTATTACAGAACCATTCTAGAAACTAACAGCAAACGTAGATAGGACTGCTGAATGGACATTGCATTCCGAAGCCATATTATAATCTCTGAGGAGCAGAAAAGGCAAATGTGTGCGAAGCCTAAGCCTCTAAGCCTGATGAATGGGAGCCCTTAACAAATCTTTGGAATTTGGTAGAAATCCCTAAGGTTAGCAAAGAGGTCTAAATAATAATTTAGCTTGCACAATAGACCAATATCGGTAATGGTATCGTGTGCCAGGTCTGTTTTAATGTTATCAGTACATGTAAAATGGGATTTAGGTAGCTACTGACAATGGGTTAACATTTTTTTTTACCACAGTTTATATGAACGCTAAACATACACTAAAAAATATTTCAAAATATTAACCCTACATGGTGCGATGAAAAAATATGGTGAATAGAAATTAAAATCTCTCGAACTTTTATTCGACCGTCGAGCAAACTTCAATACTAACCTTAAATGATCAAAAATGTTGTGCAATTCATGTAATATTGTGCAATATAATTGATCGTAAAGGGCCCGTCTTAATTAATCCCAAAATGTGAAAGGAATATGAGGGTATTTCAACTACGAGATTATATGAACCCTCAGGGTGCCAGTGTTTTTGAAAAAAAAAATTATGTATGCTGGGTTCAAATATAGGGCCACTGTTTTCGAACCTGGGATTTTTACCTTATAGTCCTGAGCACCATGTCAATGTCTAAAGCGTTGCACCCACTGATGCCTGAACAGCATTTTCTTTTTTAACCTCAGAACTTTGATGGTTCTTGCAAAATCTGGAACAGGATATCACTAAGTGTGGAAAAATCCTTGGCCATCTCTGAGATATCGCCAACCTTTTTTATACAACATTAGCCATATTTTAAACTTCACCATGACTGATGGGCTATTTATGTCCTGATGAAGGCATTATATTTCTTGTAAGCTTTACAGAGGTTAGTATTTCTTGCTTCTCATGTTAACCTTATCCTTTATTTGTTTATATCAAATCATAGTTAAGGGCATCGGTGGCTCCAACGGTTCAGACACTAACACGATGCTTATCACTGGAAGGTCCTGGATTTGAATCCAGCATTCTTGTATTTTTTTTTTTCTAAAACACCGGCGCCTCAAGGATCATATAACCCCATAGTTGAAATACCCTCGTTTGAAAAAGAAAAAAAAAAATAGTTTCAACAGAATGAATTTTTAATTATTGTTTGAGTAAACATAAATTAGAAAGAAAACACATTTTACATAAAAATTATGTTGTATTTTTTTAAATATAAATTACATAACTCAGATTAATTGTATTTATCAAGATATCTTCATTTTATGTAATTTATATTCATCTTTTTTTTCACTGATAAAAGGATGACATACAATGTTAGATTGAACTGATTGTTGATGTATTGATTGGAGAAAAAAATAGGCTTAGTTATGACAAAAAACAGTTTGTTAGATTTAATTTTATTACTCAAATCAATGACTATAATTGTTATTAATAGTTTTTAACAATTATTTTAGTGATATACCAATGCTAAACTTAAATTTTATGAAGTATGATGAACCAAGAAGATTTTTTTCTCTCTCTCTCTCTCTCTCTCTAAATAGTGAAAGTACATTTTAAATAAGTTTTCGGTTAACATTTATTAAATTATTACTATATTTTGTCCTAATAATTTTGGAATAAGCCCAAGATATTTATACTATTTACATTTTTTTTCTTAAATTTAATATATTAACCAATCCATTTTGACCATGAGAAAATTTGTATAAAATTATTCACTTGGAACCATTAAAAAAAAAAAAAAAAAAAAATTATAGAGCACATGAAAACAGTAATGATGCCAAATAGGTGTGTTTTTATTTTATAAGATGTATTAATTTTTAAATACTGCACATCCCAAGCTAGAAGTTAGTGTAAAAATTCTACACTTCTACAAAAAAGAAAAAAAGGGTTGTTAGTGTACACCTACCTAGTAAAATACAAACGAATTACATTTAATTTTGAGTTAGGCATACGATTTCCAATACATATCACCTATGATAAAAAAAGAACATTAATGTTATACTTATAAATTAGTAAATAATGTGAAGAATAAATATACAATTATATTCGATAACTCTTGACACAGTGAAATAGTCTGTAGATTTCAAAGAAATTGACATTAATTGCAAATAGGCACTTTTTTAAAACATTTTATTGCTTTGAAATTGAGTATGTTTCGCATAATGTCTATTTATATTGGCTATAATAAAAATCACCCAGCTTGGTAAAATAAAAGCACAGCTAAAGACTGGCTACCATTAAAAAAGAACTAGTTTCTTTTACTATAAAATAAACGGTTTAAAAAAAATTATAAGTATATAAACCATTTTCAGAAATTTCAATATAAAAACAATAATTATAAAAAAAAAAAAATGTTTTGTTCCTAATATATAATAACATCAAGAAAAATACTGATTTTAAGTCTATTTGATGAATTTCTTTGGTTTATCAGTCCATAGAAACATTGTTTTTTCTAACTGTGGGTTATTTATTTTTTTATTTATTTTTTAAAATTAATAATGCCACAAGCACTAAACTTTTTTTTAATGTTAAACCTATACAATATGGAAACTAATACATTTAATGGAGGAACTATACAGCCACCACGGTATAAATTTTTCCAACTTTTTACTAGATTGTGTTATCAGTTTGAAAACTTTACAACATTTAAAAAACAAAAACAGCGATTGATCTTTAATGTATTGATTTTTTTTATAAACAAAAAAAATCATTTATTCAATTCTCACTACTAATGTGGAAAAAACATTTGCAATGAGAAAAAACCATGGTAAAACTCAGTAAAATTTTGTGACAATAAAATTAAATTAGTAATAGAATTAAACGAGAAAAAAGCTCAACCTTAGATTTCAAATTTACATTATTGAGTAGAATGAATAAAAATTGTCAAGCATGTACATGTTTGTACTAGTATTTTTTTTTTAAATTTTATTTAAACATACCCTGGATACCATGTTAAATATGCTAAACGAAATAAAGCTTAAAAACCCCTGCCATTTTACCAACTCATGATAGTTTATACAGTTTTCTCTTCTTCTAGGTGGTGCATTTTCTTTTTATAAGTTGATTCAAGTGTAATAACAATCTAAAAGTACTACTCTTAATACCAAACATTTAAAATTATGTTTTTCTTAAAAACAAATTTAAGAACAATACAAGATTAAACAAAAAACAATAAAACAAATTAGACTAATAACTCTTAAAATATTTTTTTACAATTTGATCTGGACATTCAAATTTTTTTATTTACACTAGTAAGTACGAGAGAAAAGAATTATTTTTTTGTATAATTAACAATGTATAATAGTAAATAAATAAATAAATAAATTACACTTCAAGCTGAAAAGCTTGTAATAAAATTTAATTAAAGATCTGATTTCAATGTGACCAGATCAGAACAACAAACTTTAATATCAAGTTTCAACACCTTCAGGCAAGGTATGTTTGAGTTAATAATAATAAAAAAGAGATGATTTTTTTACACAAACAACCACACTGTGATTATTTTTCAATAAGACTATTTGTGTACAAATAAAAGGAACTAATAAACTGAATATTGCCACCAGAAAGGAAAAATTGTACATTATGGGAATAACCCCCCCCCCCAACTGAATCCCATAAAAAAATAAAACATAAATCAATAAAAGTAAATCGTGCACAAGTATGTTTAAAAAATGTCCAGACTAGTTGTACATGTTTAGACACAATGATTTGCACATTTTGTTTTGTTTTTGGTAATACTTCTTCAACAAACTTTGTATCTCATATCTGCAAATTGTCGGTTTTCATCGAATTTGCATTCTGCTTTAAATCGTCCATTTGATTTGAAGAACTCAGCTCGACGGTTTTTGATTCTTTTGAACTGTGCGCTTCTTTGGAGGAAAACCCGGTCTTTTTTTTATTCTTTACCTTGTTGTGGTGCTGATAATTCCAGCCACTTTTTTCTGAAATAAAAATAAAATTTGATTTAAACAAAATAAACAACTTATAAAACATTTGACGGTCTTATATAACTGTATATGAAAAATCAGGAATTTCAAGGCGGTCTTGAAAACAAAGAAACTTTACCAAGCTTTCAAGCCATATATCCCCATCATTAAGGGGGTTACAAGGTCACCAGGGCACACAGTACTAGATGGGAATAAAGAAGCAGATGCCTTTTAAGGAACTGGATGCCACACTATCCTGAACACTTTTGTAATATAGTTATCCATCCTATTGATGATCATTTTAGGAAAGAGGACATGGAATTCAAATGCAACTACCTCCTAGTGAAATTTCATAAAGAAAGAAAAATGCCTCCCAGGAAGTGGATCTGACTGTAAAATCTGCGGACTGAATGGGCACTTTGAGGAAGAATGGCATCAACTAGCAAGGTGCAGATTCTGCAAAGAAAGAAACTTACACACCTACTAAAAGACTATGGTGATACACCCATCCACAACCATTAAAACAACGGTGTGCTATAGGTAAAGAACAATATTCTTCAAAGTGTGGAGATATCCCCTTGCAGACTGTAGGGTGATGAATAGTTAATTTTTCCCTCCCTATCCTTGCCGGTTTGGTCTGTTCTGGCTTTCTATCTTCAAAGCTTGGTTTGTATTGCTCAACACTCCCCTTCTAATATAAGATTCGCAAAACAGTATAGGCACAGGAAAAGAATCTGTTAGGTCATCTCCGATCATCTTGGTAGCGGATGGTGCATTCTTCACTGAATATGGCAACTGTAAAGGACCCAGTGCCAGTTCAATTCAGATGTAGTTGTTATTCCAAATTTTACCCAGTACTGAAGATAATACATCCCTAACACCTAACCCTAACTAACCTCTTTGGTCTGTCATAAAATACCCAACTGCAGGTACATTCATTCTGCAGATCGCAAAGGTAAATCTCACAATTCAGATATAATTGTTATTTGGATTTCACCCAGTACTGAAGATAACCCGTCCCTAACACTTAACCCCAACCCTACCTAACCTAACCTCTTTGGACTATCATAAAATTCCAAACTACAGGTACATTCACTCTGCAAACTGCAAAGGGAAATTTTACAATTTAGATGTAGTCGATGCTGGATTCCTGTAAACACACCCACAGACAGTTTCAATATACCTAATTATTATACTGAATTTTACCCAGCACTGAAGATAACCTGTCCCTAACACTCAACCCTAACTCTTCTTAACCTCCTTGGCATGATACAGTAGATCATTCGAAAGTTTCAAAGTCTTGATGAAGGGGGTATATTCCTTAAAAGTTTAATGTAGGAACTGAATGTTTTTCTTTCTTTCAAATCCTCCTCACCCATTATTTTTTATGCATAAAATTATATAGTAATATTAAGGCTGATAACAATCCCATCAAGATAATTCTTTTCTAGTACCAACTTTACACAAATAGCTTTTTCTTAAATACCAACCAACGTTTCATAATTATGACCACTGAAAATATTAACTTGATTATTCAACACACAAGATATATATTTTTATATATGTTATATTATATTAGGTTTAGAAATGTGAGTCAATAGTGATCAGTGTGTAGAATTGAGTCACCTCCAATTTGGCAGCTTCCAGGAAATTTTGTTTCTATTAGAAATCCAGTTGAGCAGGAATCTTTCAGCATATGACACCAAGATATGTAGGTTCTATTATTCGTACCACAAATGGTACCCCCTGTTTCTCTCTGCGATTTAACATTTGGACATTTATAGCTGCATGTAACACACCTGGGCTCACCGTTCATAGGATCAGTAAGGCACACTTGTCTCTCTTTGCATTGTATATTCCGACATGAAGCACCTTCTACAAATTATCAATATTGTTAAATCGATCAATCGGTATGATTATAATATCATCACATACTAAAACATTGGCCCCTGTATGCTATAGGAATGGCTTTTCCTTTTTTGCAAGCTGCTTCCTTTAGGTAACATGGAGAACGATAAGTGACACCGTCTGTTCCACAAACTTGCTTATCTCCTCCTTCATTGTCTGCGCAGTGTCGTGAACATTTGACACAATGTGGCGTTAAATTCTGATCGAGTAGGCAGTACTTTCCATTGGGACAGTTTATTTTGTCGCACGACCCTGAAATTAAACCAGCTTTGTTTTTGTAGACTGGTACCTGAGTATGACATCTTCATATAGTCAAACTTACTCTGACAAGGGCCGGCATAAGCGACAGAAAGGTTGGATTTTTTCGTTCTGCAAGCCCTCTTCCTCAACCTGCAAGCAGATTTGTATTTTCGACCATCTGTCCCACAAACAGGCCCTTTTAAAATTTTTGAAAGACCTCTGCAGTCAGGAGAACAGACACATTTGGGTGTCCCATTTCTTAGAACACATCTTTTTCCTTCACCGCATTCAACCCCTTCACAAGTCTCTGAAAAACGCAAAAAGGCAGATTATTGTGGTGGAAAAATAATAATAAAATGTATACATCTAATTTTGGTAGTTTTCAATGCCAGTTGTGCCAATATTCAAATAAAAATCAGCCAAGTGAACAATGTAATCAATGTATGGTTGTGTTTATTGAACTCAGACAATATATCTGCACCCTTAAGGTAAAACTGGATGAGTCAAAAAGTTTGGGTCTTTGGCACAAATTCAATTTTTTTTAGTATATTTTATTGTGCACATATTCCATCAAATTAATTGTAGCTGTCCTAATAAATATGTTTATAAGTTATTCAAATTTAGAAATAGACAAGTAGAATTATTGAAATGTAGATGGAACTTTTCGAAATGTCTAAGCAGCCATGTTGCACTGAAGATAAAATGTTTTCCTTCATAACTTTTTCAATAAAGTCTGTCAGGCCTAAAGGCTTATTTGAATATTCATTTATCTCATTTTGCCAAAATTTGACAATTGAATCTCTTCAATTGAAAGAAGTCATTTGTGCTTATATTTAATTTTATATCATTTCAAATTTTAATTGTAATTAATTTTCATAATTTCTTCTAAGAGACCTGCATTTTTCAGACTGATGGACGAATTTAACACACCAATCAATTTATTTAGTTTAAAATTACAATATCTCTCCACATTAGTTACAGGTAATTAGGAGCTACCTTAGTCAAAATAAACAGTAAATAATGATTAGTTTACTTCCTTTATTTACTTTTGTACTTATTAATCCCATCTGCACAAAAAGTAGCATTATGCCCTTCTATTAAGATCACTTTCAGTTAATCGTTTTCCTTCGTTGATTTCATTTGATATTATGCTTTTTCTTAAACTCTTTTTAATGGCTCCAGTCATCACTTGAGTGAGTATGATAGTGTCAGGTCATAACATTATTAGAGGAATCAGCATGAAATCGCAAGGAGACAGTGTAAATCACTCTACAATAGGAAAGTTTCTTCGGTGCTGAAGAAAAAGAGAGCTTCATATTAGAAGCCCAGGATTGGGTCGATCTAAGTCTATGGACGAGATCGATGATGGATTCATCTTTCATCAGAGTCTACAAAACTGCAGCAATATGGGAAATGAGATAAGAAATCTGATAAGACAAGTATGAAATGTTTCAGTTTCCTCCAGGACAGTTCAATTCGCACGGGAACATGTGAATTGAAATTGGAAGATTGGGGACGAGTTGTCTGTACAGATGAGGTGAGAGTTGGCCTAATGGGCATAATTTTATTTTGAGACACTCAGGATAAGGGTATGTCCCCTATACTGTATGGTTCCTCAGATGTCATTCCATGGTGGCTCATTGATGTTCTGGAGTGGTATTTCCTTGAATGCCTGCACCCAATTGGTTGTTGTACGAGGAAGATCTCTAACTTCACATAGGTACTTACAAGACAATTGAAGAACATGTAGTGCCATTTGCCCCCTCCCCCACATCGGTGAGAAATTCATGCTCCAGGCAGACCAGGCCCCATAGAACACATATTGTGGATTGATATAGCCAGCTCGAAGTCCACATATAAACCCAATCGAACATATTTAGGACCTACTCAACCGACAAGTACGGATTTGGCTGTTGCTGATGAATGGGAAAGAATTCCCTATAATTTCTAAGGAATGAAAAGTAGTTTAATGGAAGTGATTCGTGCCAGAAGTTGAAATACACCATATTAAAGGGGACAATATTTTTTTTTTCATTTTTTTTGATTATTTTTTGTTCTTTACTAAATATTTTTTTAGGATTAGGTATTAAACATTTTCTTTTTAAATGTTTTATTTAATCAAACCAATTTTCGGTATGCAAAATATGAATAAATCTAAATACATTAAAATTTAAAGGTGATGCGCTAATTTTATCTATCAGTGTATTTAAAACAATCAAATATAGCTTTTATTGTCCAATTAACCCTTTTTCTAGACAAAGAAATCCTTTTTAATTTTGAAATTAACCCTTTTCCCCGCCAAATGAACTTTCGATTAACTCTTTTTAACTTCAAATTAAACTTTTTAATTTCAAAAGATCTCTTTTTAACTTCAAATCAATCCTTTTTATTGAGTTGTCCGAAAAATAATGCAGGCTTATGGTTATAAATAAAAACAATTAAATAAATAATTTTAAACAGTTTTATTAATTATAATACCCTCCATCACTCTTAATACATTTCTTCTACCGTGGTGGCAACTTTTCTATACTCTCTTGAATAGAATTTTGAGTCTTTATTATAAACAAATTCTGTAAACGCATTTTCTAATGATTTGATCAATACATCTTTTATGTTGTAAAATGTTGTTCAGGTGTCTAAAAAAATGGTAGTCGGTAGGTGAGAGGTCTGGAGAATAAGGTGGGTGAGGCAGAACCCCATAACCAAAATCCAACTGTTTTCATGCTGTCACATATGCGACATTGTGACGAGCGTAGTCGTATCGGCCTTTGCCGATTGACCAAAGATAACTTCAATAATGCCAATTTCTGATGCATTGCTTCAATTTAAGAGCAATACGTTTCTGTATTGACTGTTTCGCCATGATCAAAGAAGCTGTAGTAAATCAACCCAAAAGAAGTCCACCAAAGAGTCAACATCACGTTTTTTTGACGGGTTGGGGAGTTTTGGAAAATATGGTAGTGCTTTTCCTTTGTTGAGCCACTGTCCAGAAGGTCTGCTGTTATCGCAAAGAATCCACTTTTCATCGCAAGTAATAATTCTATCCAGAAAAGGTTCGTTTCTGTTTCGGCAAAGAAGTGTAGAGCAAACTTCTTAACGATGATTTTTTTGAAGGTCGTTTGGGCAACCAAACTTACGAGATTTTTCACCTTTCCAGCTGCCTTAAGGTGGCCAGCGACGGCCGATTTGCTAACTGAAAGATTCTCTGCACGTTATCAAAAAGTTGTTTTGGAATTTTGTTGGACCAAAGCTCGCAGAACACCATCATTTAGGGATGAAATCTTTCCACGACCTTCTTTGTCTTCAAGGCTTAAAGTCTCCCTCTCGAAATTAGACAAATCGAAATGATATAAGAAATGAGGAATTCGTGCAAAAGAATAATCCATTATACATAAACAATGAATAATGAAAGCATTTAACTTTAAATTATCCCTTTTTAACATCATATTAATTGTTTTGTAGTTTCAAACTAACCATTTTTAATTTTAAATTAACCTTTTCTTTAACTTTCAATTAACTAAGGTTTTTAGTTGAGATAAAAAAAATCAGTGTCACGAGCGGGATTCGAACCCACGACCTTCGGCTAGGTACTCCGCTACTCTACCACTTGAGCTATCGTGACTTCGATCCACTCGGACACTAACTCGCTGAAAAATGGCAAAAAGGAGGGAAAATTCAAAAGGTGAGGTTGAGATGGGAAGTTGGTGTCCGAGTGGATCAAAGTCAAGTTAAAGAATTGGTCAAGCGGACCACGAAAACTAGTGAAATTAATTACAATTAAAATTTAACAATATATACAATTCAAAATAAAAAATATATACTTATATACAAATATATACAATTAAATATAAAAACATGATTCACCGATTAATGCGATATTTATAAAAAAATCGCAAATTTACATTGAAATTACTTACATATTACAGCGATTAAAAGGGAAAGGGTTTATTTAGCCGATCACAATTGCTCACATTTCACAAAATAAAAGAATGTTCCTTTATTTTTACTTTTAATTTTGTATAATTTTACCTTTAATTGCAATTTTGCGATAAGCCAGAGAATAAGGGAAGAAGTAAAGCGACTTTCGCGAGAGGCACGTTAATTAATCTTTATGTAAGGTATTGGTTGAGATAAAAAGTCAATGTCACGAGCGGGATTCGAACCCACGACCTTCGGCTTGGTACGCCGCTGCTCTACCACTTGAGCTATAGTGACTTCGATCCACTCGGACACTAACTTCCTACCTCAGCCCCACCTTTTTGAATTTTACTTTTTTTTTACTTTTCTTTAACATTAAAAAAGCCTTGGAGAGGGTATAGAATGTAACCACGTGAAGAATAATTCTTGTATATTTGAGAATTTTTTGAATACAAAATAATTGGTCTCTTAGACCACATGACCACATAGATAATTAATTACAATTATGATTTAAAATTAAATATAAGGTAATATAGTTTAAATATAAAATATTTTGGCTCTGAAAAACCATATTTGTCTCACATTTCTCAAAACAAAAGAAGAAGAATTCATTTTCATATATTTTTCTATAATTTTTAAATTTTAATTGTAATTAATTTTCATATGGTCTTCTATAAGCCCAATTATTTTATATTTTAAAAAATCTCATTAAAAAGACGAGTCAGTTTTTATATTTAATTTTATATAATTTTTAATTTGAATTGTAATTAATTTTTGTATTGTCTTCTAAGAGCCCAATTTATTTTACATTAAAGAAATCTGAAATATACAGGAACTTTACACGCTTATATTTCATACCATATGCTATGTTTTTTTAATGTTTTATAGAAAGGATTAACCTGAAACTAAAAAATGTGAATTCGAAGGAAAAAAAGTTTATTTGAAATTAAAAAGAGTTTATTTAAAATTAAAAATGGTTTATTTGAAGTTAAAAAAAGGTTAATTTGAAATTTAAAAAAGTTTAATTTGACGGAGAAAAGCTATAATCAGTGACTAATTTCTTTTAAAATGTAATAAATTATTAATTTAGTACAGATCAAGTTTGGTTTATGATAGAAAACATTTCCATTTGTTTAAATAAAAATAAAGTAAATACATTACTAAAAATAATTTTTAGTAATAAAAATAAAATAAAGTAAATACATTACTTATTTACATTTATTTGGGCGTTACGGGAATTTACACCCATCATCAGATCTACATTTGTTATAAGAAGATATAACCTGATATTCATATTTTATCTTTTATTAAAAACCTTACCTTATATTGTATTTATAATTTATTATTATCTATTTATTATTATTATTATATCTTTTTGTAAAAAATATG